CGGAATCCCCATGCTCGATTACCCCCTATGTTAATTCCCAGCCCCGTAGGTGAACTCTACAAAAAATCGATAAAATCGATATCGATCGATGGGGAAAAGTTGCCTGTGACACCCGCCGGGGCCCAAAGTGTATGTGTACCAAGTTTGGTCCGGATCGGTTCAGAAATGGAATTTTCTATTCGGAACATACGTGCAGACAGACAGACTGTACGGTCGGTGAGTCAGTTGTGTGTGTTGTGTGCGGACTGTGATCGATTGCTGCCACGCGGGACTTACGCACAGCGAGTGCACCTCAAACTTGGGTAATTAAAATTTATTACTAAAAAGCTAACTAACAACTATACAGCGACCACGAAATCAATACACAAGCAATACAATCCATATATGTCATCCGGATACACATGAGTTGCTGTGAGGGTCCTGTGCAGGGGCTGTGACTTCGCTGTGAAGGTCCTGTGAGGTAGTGAGTAACTGTGGGAAGGATACAATCGAATGATGAAGTAATCAAAGTAAGAAACAATAAGGAAACAACAGACATTGACATGACATATAAAACACACCAATGCTCGCTAAACTGTGTCAGCTCCTTAAACATATGAGCGAATATAAACACACTACAAGCATGCATGAGAAAATCATCGATAAGCCATCATAGTACTTGAATCTGTGAGAAAACGCACAGCCTTGATAGCTGTGAATCACGTCAAATTCCTCGGGCGCAAAGTACGATACGAACGGGAAGTTCGTATACAGACAGACATACAGACAGACAGACAAACAGACATTGAGCTTTATATATAAGATTTACTCTGGTCTTCGGATGACGTTGTCTTCGATATTGTTGTGCACTGTGTATGATTAATAATTTTTATCCCGTTCTGGAACACCTTGAGCGTATTGAATGAAAACGAAACGAAAGAAAACATCGTCTTGAAGGCAGCGTCCAGGCATGTCTGGACCCATGAGGTCCTCATGTGGGTAGTAATTGTGGGGCCCTTTCTAAGCTATTACCCAACCGGCAGCTTAGGTAGCGCTCTGACGGCTAAGATATTCCCCTCGAAATTGGACCCCAGGATCGTACTTGGCAAGGATTCATGGCGCAAGGCGTGGGTCTGGGTCCTCGCGCAAAAATGCCATGTCCATGCAAATACGACCCTGGGGTCCAGTTTGAAAGCGTATATCTCAACGGTTAGTGAGTCACCTGCGCTGCCGCTTGAGCAGTGCCTTAGTTAGGGCCCCAAAATCAGTATCCATGTAAAATACCCCTAGGTCCAGATCTGCCTGGACGCCGCCTTTAATGCCTTAGCAAGTCTGCTGTATTGATAAATTTACGCCATTTTGAAGGCAACCACTAATTCGCGCACGTGTTTTCTTGTACTCATTTACAGCCCAGCTAATGCATATGTCATAGTCTGCAATGTCGCTTTTTGTTTGTTTTCTTTTATTTTCGCTGTTGAAATGCTAATACGTCGGTCAAGTCTTCGCTCTGGTCACTCTCAAAGCCAGTGAGCCTTTTTGGCATTTGAACATTATTTTCAATAAACTGGCTCCGGATGGGTAGTACGAACGCCGCCAATTTGGACAGCCTTCGGGACTACTGGCTCTAAAACGACATGCAACAACTCAGACAATGGAAGGCTTTCAGCGGATAGCCACAAGGCCACCGCCAAAACTTACCAAAAGCGTCAAGCCTTATTGCCCCACTGTCGCTTCGCGCTGAAGACTTTATAGCAGCCCGCGCGCTGACAGTTCTGGCAAAGTTCTTAGCGGGAAGCGACAGTGAGGCGATAAGGGGGTGTTCTTTTGCCTATTCTCTTTAACATTTTCACTCATGAGCTTCTGCGCATAATTATCTAAAGGAGTTTCTTGCTGCGCATTCGCGGATGATATCAAGCCTTACAATGCTGTAAATGATGATGTTGGACGTAAACAATTAAGAAATGCATTGGATGAGGTGCTTGGTTAATCATGAGTGTGGGGTCTGCCTATTTCAAAAGAAAAAAAAACAAAAATACTACACTTAGGTTCTATTTATATAAGATACCCCTACAATTTAGGAGGTAGCCCGGTTGTAGCTCTTGACTCAGTTAGAGACTTGAAGTTTCTGCCATAAGTAGCCTTTCGTTTGATGAGCATTGTAAAGCAATTGCAGACAACGCTACAGTGGCAGTTTACAATGGCCCGTAGTAAACCCCCCATCAAGGCATCTCTCTCGACGCGGACCGGCGTTGATCTCATCACGCCTCAGTCTAGCTTCCGGCGAGCCATTGATCTGGATGCGGATCGCTTCCGAGGCATCACAATCAAGTGCGTTCTTGGAAAAGGAACCACTAGAGATGGTTTGGTCAAACGGGTAAGCGATTGGAATTGCGAGCGCGCGGCCGTGGTTCGACTCCGACTAGCGACACACGTTTTGATGCATCGCTGGACAATCTTTGATAGCGGCCACTACGCAATCGATGATGACCGCTATCAAGGATTTCGCCTAGCAAATGCACGGATAAAACAAAAACACAGTTTATGACGAAAATTTTATGAGAAAACGAAATGGTTGCAGCGTGAATTTAATGAAATGAATAAATGAGTTCTTGTTTTGGACAGCTAGTGAAAAAAACCAGTAAGGTTTACAAAAAAGAGAAGAATTTGTTTTTTTGTTATCCTCGCCAAAATCAGCTGTTCATCGATTCTCTCCTTTTCGGGCGCGGTTGTGCAGTTTTGCGCCGATTTTGTCTGCATTTTTAGCCTGACTGATGTGTATCGTAAGTTACTCAGGAGCAACTTACGGGGGTCTTGTCTAAGTCTCCTCTTTTACACACTATTTGCATCACTCTAACATCAGTTCACGTTCAGGTCACCTGAACGTGAACTGATGTGGAAGAGTTGACTGCAGCAGGTGGAGAGATGGTCAACTTTCAGTTCACTCGCCATTCCTATATCATGGGAGGGTGGGCGGTCATCAGTTCACCTGACGTGAGGTGAAGTGATGGGATAAGTTCAGTTCACCTGAAGTGATTGAGCTTTACTACGGGCCAATAATTTGTGCAGAGGACTGTCATGCACACATCCTAATATTCTTTTGAAGGCTTACAATTTATTGGAGCAATGGTGGAATATTGTACCGTCATTTATAGTGCACATCTCAAAAGGCAATCAGCTATTTGGAGAAAGTACAAAAGAGTTTCACAAGAAGGTAACTGATTAGGACTGTTGGTTTCAATTATGATCAAATACCATGCATCAAGTCCGTAATGCAAAGTTTTGATAGGCTACCTGAAAGCGCACTAACACTTTTTCGTTTCAGCTGCCGTTGTGTTGACTGTTTTGTGTTTGTTTGTTTCTTTTTCATAGGGGCATTCCTATGCACAAATAACTAAATAAGGGATGACGCTTTTAATGGGGTTTCGCGGTAGCTTCGTGGCTGCGCGCTGAGAGCCTCTCATTGTTTGAGAACATTGCAAAATGGACTACTTGGCCTCGAAAGGCGGCTCAAACTGGCGGCATTCGTTCCCCTACCTGCTCTGGATTAGTTCAACAGGGAAGATTAAAAGCTTAAGAAAGCTTAGCTGGTTCCTATTACATACAGTAACGCTCTTAAATGCAGTGTCCAGGCTAAACCGAGCCCCCTCCGATTAGTGTCGATCCTAAATGTAGGCCCCAGGAAGGGGGCATCTGCGTTGGTCCGGTCTTCTAACGTTGTCTCTGAATGGAGATAAGGGGCCTGGAAGTCCCTGGCTGGGCGGAGTCTGATATCAGACTCCGCCCAGCCAGGGACTGCTTCTCGACACGTATTGACATGGTAGTGAGCAGAAGCTGTACACTGCTGCAACTGCACCCATGGAGTTGCACTCCTTCCCGCTGGCATGCCGACGGGGACGAGCGATCTGAAACTCGTCCGCGCCCTCAAGACAGGGCCCCCAGGAATCGGTTTTTTTATGAATTTTGGAAAGTTTGAAATTTGGACATGTAATCAGGGCCACAGAAAGGCCGCAGAATGATGAAAACATCGGGGGCCAAAGTGAACGCTGCCTTTAATTCTTCAAGACCGCAGCTTCCTTCAGTTTGACTTTTTTCCGTACTTTCGGACGATAAACGGGATACCTTTGCTCAATCTGACGTAGCGCAAGTCTTTATTCATAGAGCTGCCATAGCCTGCCCAGGACAGGCTGTCCTGAACGTTAGGTGTGGTATCTATTCAGTTTTCACAAATTTCTTAGATTCTTACGTACAACGAGGCGAATTGCTGTTGCTAGCATTTACTAACATCTTAACGCTAGTTGCACATCGTAGGGATACTGTACGTGTACATAAAAAATACTGAATACATTTCCTCGGTTGAGAATGGCAGCACAGACGGAAAGAACATAAATGCCTACCATTTTTTTGATGAAAAGCGATCCTTTGAGTGAGATCATCATCATTTAACAAGACTGACGTATTAGATTCAAGCAGGAAATTTTGCTTGAAATTCTTGAGCAATTCTATTGCGCCGTTAGCCACAGCATCCTACTTTCATTCTCAGTTCATGTCAACCATGTGAAAAAACGCATTAGTAATCTTCACTTCATTTCATTTCATAGCGTATTTATAGAAAGTCAAAAAATAGACAAAATGATTATCAGCCGTATTTTTATGACAATTTTACAAACGCTGGAAAGCCAATAATAAATTCAAGTTTAGCTTTTCTATGGAAAATGCATAAAATACGCGCAGAGATCACAGGAAATAAATTTTCTCGCAAAAATTTCAAAAGGCGGCCGATTTCTTTTTTACAGCACCCATTTCAATATCCGCATCGACGAAGTCCACTTGATCTTCCTTGATGATCTGAAAAGGATGCCTTGGTGAACGAGATTCTATAGCAACAAATTTTGTAGGGTCTAGCTTTGAACAAGGGCGGATGCTTGCACTTGCGCAGCGTGCGCGAACGCGATCGCGTGCCTGCGCTTATGCGGGCATCCGCCTTCGTCTGGGATTAGACTATACGTACCTGCGCACTATTTCCCGTTGTTCGCAACCGAGTGAGCTCTTGTCGAGACCACGCTTGCGCAGATACCGAGTTTACAATCTAAACTACCATGTAAACACGGATTCCTTGCAAGAGAGCGAAGCGAACCAACAGGGTCATGCGTCATATTTAGCAAAGGTTCCCTTATTTGCGGTGAATCCATTGGATCTAACAACTCGTCATCTCTTATGACAGATCGGGTATTTACTAAAAATAGGTGTAATGTAGAAGGTTGAGTGAAAAGGCAAACACACCAAAGCTTTTATTAAGCACCGAGCAGCTCCTCGAACTCCACGGACGAGTTACGCAGCAAGCCAATCGTCGAAACTCCGTCATTCGGAAGTAACACAATGGTTGACAGACAGAATGCACACCAATCAAAACCTGGAAGTGGTGCCACGCATTTAATTTTTTTTTGTAACCAAATCATTTGAACAAAAAATTGGAATGGAGTAAAAAGCGTAAAGAAATTAGCATATGTCTCATCACTCAATCCTTTGACTAATGATTTTTGGATTCAATGAGAAGCAGTAACAAATATTATGCAGCAACTATAGAGCTGATTTTTGATTTTGAAAATTTTGAGTCCGTGTACATTATTATTGTTTTTAAAATAGTCATAACCAACCTGTAGCCACCAACGTATCAAAGTGCTGCTATGAGTAATCTCTATCAAATGATTGATGTGTGGAAAAGCGACTAGCTGAATTCCTGAGTACGGGCAAAGAAATAACAAATCCACTATTAATACTGTTCCAATCACATAAATATACTTATGCCGGCCTACAGCTTGCATCCTAAAACGAAAAGAAAAATTATTTTCAAAAAATAATTGTATTGTTTAGGCGCTCACTTTCTTCCAGAGTTTGAATTTGCGACACTCATAGCTCGATGTCTTTGACCGTGTTCGTTGTGAATAGTACCATTTTCATCCTTGAGCCTCTTAATTGTGCGAAGTATGAAGGTGTAACATACCTTAAGATGCATTTTCATAAGTAGACGAAAAGAAAATGGAAAATATTGATCAATACGTCATTTAACATGAATTTCAAAGAAAGGCTCGTCTGGTGGACTTTGTTTGATGAGTTTACGGTAGGTAAACTGTACGAGTTTGTAACCCATAACATTGAAACGTTGCATAGGAAAGTTTTTTATATGCTTATTACATGATATCAAAGCTACTTACAGGCTCACTCCTTTATATGTATATGGCTACGGTTCACAAACTTAAAAGGCAGCGTCCCACCAGACTGGGGGTACTTGACTCTGATAATAATGTAATAGTAGACCCCCTAACTACGACGACAGAAGTTTGCAGCGCGAAAGGGGGTCTATGATCTACAAATCGCCCCGCAAGTGGCCCGAATCTTACGGTAGGCTCAGGCGAGTGCGAAATGCATGCAAGCTAGAGACGCAGAGTCGTTGCGGGACCCTGCGCTCATAACTGTGAGCGCTATACGCGCTCTGGTCTGGCAAATTAATACTGCGGTGTGGGCGGCGTCCGGGCCACCGTGAGATTCGGGCCACTTTTGGAGCAAATTTCAGGCTTTAGTCATTACTTAAGTAGGGGGTCTACTTTACAACGCCACAAAAACTCGGCACCCATCTTTTTGCCGGGACGCTGCCTTTAAGGAGATTTACCTTGACACCCGGGAAGGAGAGAGTCATTGTAACGAGATAAGTGCCGTTATGGTGTTCAAAAAGTCGATTGACGAGGCTTCAGCGAATTCAAGGGCATGGATTGCTTACCGTACACCTACCGTACTACTAAAAAAATAGTATTCAAGAATTTCTATATTGTGAATCAGGAGTTTCGGTGGAAAAAACCGCTTTGTGTATTATACTGCAGAAAAGCTTTTTTGGTAGGTGGGGAAGAATTGGCGCTGTTGGACTGCGTGATATTTAAAAATTTGTTTTACAATATTCTATGTGCTAAAATCGCTGATCGGTTTCCCATTTCTGTTCGAAAGGTATCGCATCGAAAAAAAATTTTTTTGTAAGATTTTGTTCGTTGAAATAAAAGTACAAAAAGATCTAATTATATATTGCTATTAAAAGATTTTTATAGAAACTAGTTCTCGTATGTTAGATTCTACTGACGATTCGAATCCCCCCCCCCCGTTATTCCAGTTTCCTAACAGGAGCATTTATGAGCTTGAATGACTCCATTCTCTCATGCTGCATGACTACTCGCCTAATCTCAACATCAGCTTATTCATCTTAACATTTCTTATGACTTATAAACTTTTTATTTGCAGGAGATGACGAGGAGTTTGGGCGTTCCATGATATGGGATTATCGCCTTTTCTAGACTTATTTGAAAAAAAATGAGAATAAACTCACCACCACTATGGCTAATACCACTATGCATAGTACAGATATCATCAACATGCTGAGAGTGGCAATATCAATGTGCCAAGGCTTGTCTGTAAAGAAGAAATTTCAGCGGAAGTACGTCGGATGTTTCGCGTAATTTTTGCGAAAGTCTAGCGGAACTTTCGATAGATCTTACCTGAATCTTAAAAGTATGGTGAGGATGGTGGAGCGAGTAATCCTAGACCCATAACAACGCTCACCATCCAGCTAAAAAACGATTGATTCATATAGTAAAAATAGAAAAAATACATAAAACCCTACCAGCAAGCTAATATTGCTAGAATTGCTCTACGTCGAAAATATGTAGTGCAGTGGACAGTGCAGTGGATAACAAATCACTATGAATTCATTTGTGGTAAAGACAAGCAGATCGAATATCGTCAACAAATTACATCTGCGTAGCATTACGAGAGCAAATGTTGATGCCTGGAAAGATTGCTTGGTTTGATTTTCTGTAAATCCTTACCCAGTGGTTCCCAAATTTGTAGAAACATTAACTGCGTTTCGCGACTCAATGTTTTCAGCAATGCATTTTTTAAGAATTCTGAGAAGCTTCCTAACTTCTCGATAGTTTTTCAACCCCTGCAAATGAAATGAGCATACCTGAAAAATTCCGCAAATTTTTTGTTCGTTCACAGTCAACAAGGTTACTAAGTATAATCTCAGCAAATCTAAGAGCGATCAAAGCTTATCTACTTGTACATTACGCCATCAAATTTTTCACTCATTTCGATCTCTAAAGAAGAGTTAAGCACAGAAACTGCTTTTCTTATGAAATCATATCCTCCATACCTCTATTCTTATCTATCTAAAAAAATACAAGCACAAAAAAAAAGTTCTACCGATTAAATAGGCCTAAAGTGTAGTCCCTATTCAAAGACTTCTTTTATTTCTCCCCAGGATTTGCTTTCCTTTGCTGAAGCTAAAGTTGGACCTGAGAGGTGATGAGAGTAGTTGTTAAAAGGTTGCAATTCGTACAATGACGCTACCGTGACCCTTAAGGACATGTCAACTACTCTAGCAACTATAAGAAAAGTTCTGTAGTACTTCTAGTAAAGAAATGGAGCCGAACGAAATTTAGGGGAGGGAAGAAACGGAGGCAGAAATGGAAATAGATGCAGAAATGCTAAAATATACAGCGAAGTGAAAACTTCGTATGATACTCTTGATTCGGATCATGGGTTCAGGTTATTTCACCAATGCGATCAAATCAAAAAAATAATTTTCAAAGGAGCCAAACTCCCCAGAGCCGCTGTCTAGAAATTTTATACACGCCTCAATTCTTTGATTTTTCCTTCTAGACATTTTTATGATTTATCTTTGAGCGAGACTTGAATTTTGGAGAGCATTCTGATCCAATATATTCGTTCAACCTACCCTGAATAGCGCAACATTTGTCGCTATAGATAATCTAATCTTATGAACAGTATTGGCAAAATAGAGAATCCATTACCATTAGCTAAGTGTCACGGCTTTTGCTGCAAAAATGAGCGGTATATTCACGAAATTGCCATTAGTTGCATTTTCATGGTTTTTGACTGCCAATATTCAAGTTTTGGACCTATTCAAGGACGATAAATCAAACAGCCCATGCGAACATCTACTCGATCTTCTCAAAAAAAAGGGCTCTGGAACGTTATGAAACACAAAAAATGTGCAGTCTGATGTACAGTTGGCAAAATCGCGCCTCTTGACATACATCCGCTCCTGTCGGGACCATGCTTGAAGTACCGAACTATCGCGAATTCCTGAGGGCAAGCAAAGCGAACCAACAGAGTCATGCGTCATGTTTAGCGAAGGCTCCTTTATTTGCGGTGAATCCATTTCTAACAACTCGTCATCTCTTATGACAGATCGGGTATTTACTAAAGGTAGGGATTTGTAATGTGGAAGGTTGAGTGAAAAGGCAAACACACCAGAGCTTTTATTAAGCACTGAGCAGCTCCTCGAATTCTACGGACGAGTTCACAGCAAGCTAATCGTCGAAACTCCGCCATACGGAAGTAACACAATGGTTGACAGACAGAATGCACGCCAATCAAAACCTGAAAGTGGTGCAGCATTCTTTTTTTTCAATGGAATGATTGAGAGGAGTAGGGGAAGTGACTCCTTGGGTACCAAGAGAAATGGCTACAATCAAAAACGCTTTTTTGCAGAAAATTTTATGATATTCATTATGAAAATAGAATAAAAAAGTCTGTCATCAGAGTTTCAAGAAATTGCAACCCATCAAACCAAGCGAGATTTTCTGTTACACAGAAATGTAAGATTCTCAGGGAGCATTTGACACTATGACAGACGGGTAAGAATTTCTGTACGTCATCTAATAAAGAGGTGATACTTCTTCTCAACATCCAATTGAAGTTATCTTTCTACTGGAAAAAGAGAGGGAAAGGAGCAAGGAATTTGTTGTTACTCTGTAGCCACCAACGCATCAATGTGCTGCTATGAGTGACCTTTATCAAATGAATGATGTGTAGAAAAGCGACCAGCTGAATTCCTGAGTACAGGCACAAAAGTAACACTATAAGAACAGTTTCAATCACATAAATGTATTACGTTGGCAACTTTGGCACAACAACAGCTAACAAGGGAACCGTGTGGAGTCGAAGTGACCTTTCCAGATGGAACCCATACTGCTTTGAAGAGCATTAATTGGTGATTCCAAATCTGCTTTCCAAATCTCCCAAGCGCCTCTGGACGCCGAGCTATGCTCGTTTTTCAGGTCAAAAAATTGAACGCAAAACTGGAGCAAAAATCGCCCAAATTTGCTCGAATGGTCCAGTGTCAAGTATCAGAGCTGTTTACGCATGGATACACTTTATTTATTATGCTAATACTCAACATTGCTTTATCTGAGCGCTGGAAAGATTGTAACAATCAATTTTACCTAAATTCTGCATTCATTTTTCGTTCCGAAGAACGGTCATAACTCGGCGTCCAGAGGCGCTTGGCAGATTTGGAAGGCAGATTTGGAATCACCGCTTAATACTCTTCAAAGCAGTATGGGTCTCATCTGGAAAGGCCACTTCGACTCGACACGGTTCCCTTGTAAGTTTTGCAAATGATTTCATAACTTCCCTCTCACCTAGCATGGCGCACTCAAATTTTGCCACTGCGTTGGATATTACGTAAGCTATAAGTGCAGCTGCTGTCCTACCAAATTCTGACGTCGCAGTGAGGGTTACGGTAGGTGCATGGTATGAAGGGGAAAAATTCAAAGTTTGACGGGTTTGGCTGGAACTCGGCATGGGGGTGTTATCCGACGTGCTGATCACGAAAACGATATTGAAATTGCTGATAAGGGCTTTTTTGTTGGATTACTGTAGGTGTACGATATGAGGTCTTACCCTAAACAGGGAAAAAGGCGTTGATTCAACAAATGAATGTGGTATTCGCGTTTGGCAGGTCAAATAACCTTACTATGTAAAGTCTCGGCGGAATTTGAGCTTCGGACTCTTTAGTCATTGACGGTCGTCCCCAGCAGCTTTTGCGTACATCGACTCGTTCGATTTTATGAGGACGCCAAATCTCGACATGCCCCTAAATTTTGTTTCTTTCTTACTAGGCCAAAGGAGTCAACCTCCAGCAATAAATTATAGACGAATCCGGATTACCGCGCATGGTCTAGGCTTCCAAAGGCTTCATTTTAGCTCGATACCCCAAAAATTCTCAAATTTCACTAGTTTTCGAAAAAAGCCTGAAACTTTTCTATTTCGAGTTCAAAATTTAGACAATTTGTGCTCACTTGTAGCTAACATTGCCTTCTATATAATGCCAAAGTTTGAATGCGCCATATCCAAAAAGAGCGGAGTTATAAAACCAGTTGCAAAATTTAGTTTCCAGCCTAATATTTATGCCAGCCTACTGCTTGCATCCTAAATCGAAAATAATTCCTAGTTGAAAAGTCCTTATTGTGCACTTACTTTCTTCCATAAATTGAATTCGCGAACTCATAGCTCGATGTCTTTGACCGTGTTCGTTGTGTTTAGTACTATTCTCATCTTCGAACCTTTTGATGGTGCGAAGTATAAAGGTATGCATACCTAAAAAGTTGTAATTACACGGGAATAGAAACGATTGTTACATGTTTAACATGCCATTCACGGAATTTACTCAATTCTAGCGAGGTTACGGTAGGTGTAAAGGGTACGGTAAAGGGTCAGAATCGCAGAATTCGCCAAAATTTTGTCTGGAATTCTTCTGTATGCCAAATACGAGTAATACATTCCCTTGTGATAATTCCGAAGTAGCGGAACCTATCTTATGGACACCTACCTAGCATAAGGAGGTTCATTACTGTAATGAGTTAGTTGCACAAGTTCAACACATACCCTAGAAAGGTTTCAGCGAATTCTGTGGCTTGCACCTTATACCGTATACCTACCGTATTTCCGTAGACAAAGTGAAGTTCTGAAAATTTTCGTGATATAGCAGTGGTTAATGATTATTTACGCGGGAAGGAGTTACAGTTGCAAAAAATTCATTTTTGTTTTATTTTTAGTGCAAAAAGATTTCAAGTAAACATATGATCTGTGCTGGACCACAACTGCATTGAGACGATGTTAGTGATTTGTATTTATGATTCCATGTTAACATTTACTTCCTTTGACGTTGTCTTGCTCTAAGAAGAGAGGGTCGCGAAACCGAAGAAACCGATCGCTACACGATGCATATTGTCACGAAGAGCTTGAAACGCTGATCTTAAATCTGCTTTCCATGATTGCAGAACGCTTCTGGAGAGAAAGTTATGGGATTTTGTTTGCAATAAATTTACAAGGGTGAGTATAATCAGAACTATCAACACATAGGCATTTTATTCTCAAACAGATATCCATGCTTAACGTAATTGGCGCAACAAGCAATTTGAACGATTTCCTAAATAGTCACTCAATCTATGCAAATTTTGCCAATGAAACATATATATAGTCGTCCTCACCCCACTAGTCGGTCGGTGGACGAAATCGAATTCGAACTGGAGCAGGCAGGTCGCGGCAGAGCACGGCACCTTAGCTCTCCGTTCAAATTCACGCATTCACTTTGCGTATTT